ATAGTGTAGAAAGGTATTCGTTGATCGTAACGCAGAGACATATCGTGGCGTCGCTCCTGAAATGTAGATCGCCAGTGATTTACTTATCAAGAATCGACGCTTCGCCGGAGGTAAATGGTCGAGTCGTGACCATTAGTCGATGGAGCGGTGGTCGAAGGCATTGCCGGTGTCCACTACGGATCTTTAGTATATATATACATACATACATAGTTCGTGCTTGGTAATTTCTTCTCTCTGTACTCTACTCTTGCATTCGACTGAACCACCACGAGAGAATACGCTAATATCCTTCTTCTCACCGTGTGAGGCCTCAACTTTATCATTCTCTCTCTCTCTATATATATATATGTATATTATATTATATATGTATATTAATTATATATGTATTAATATTAATTATATATATTATATATTATATATGTATATTTTAACCCCTTCGGTTGAATATAATAATTAAAAATTAATTGAATCTCTCTCCTACATTATTTTTATTTCTTACATTTTTTTACTTTCCCAGTTTAACAATTTACTAATTTATTTCTTAACAAACACCTTCTCACACCACCTATTCAACACTACTAAAAAATATCGCATCTGTTTTAACCTTCTCTCTATCAACAGCACAAAGTTTTTGTTTTTTTTGAACAGTTCACCGTTTATCCATTTTATTAACCGTGTATTAATAACTCGTTGCTTGTGACTTTATCATTGATCTTATGGGGAAGTAGTATTTCAACGTGACTAGAACGTTGACAATCTTCTTACATATTTTTTTTCCTTTTTCTTTTATGCATAATCATTTTTGTTATTTACAGACTTTTTACTTCGGTTTGATAAACTTTATTATCATTCTTTGTCACGTGTATACTCGTTCAATAATATATTTGAATATAATTTTTTATTATCTTTTAAATTCTCACTCACATATGTAATAAACATTATTTTATCTTTCTTCTTTCGTGTAAAAAAAAAAAAAAAAAAAAAAAAAAAAAAAAAAAAAAAAAAAAAGAAAAGGAAAAAAAAAACAAGAAAATACATTTCAATGTTTGCTAGTACGTTTGCAAACATTGAACATTGAAATCTAAAGTACACTTCGACTCCTTCATTTCTATACGATTTACAACGAACTCAACTACTTACGACAGTTCATTAAATGAATCGACCGTGCGAGTTAGTCGAATAAAAAAAAAAAAAGGAATCTTTCAACGAGAAAAAACTTTAGCGCGAAATATCTATATCCGATTCACGTATGGGGTGTCGTCCCTTTTCCTTCTTTTTCCCCTTCTCTTCCCGAACCTATTATATTTTTTTCTTTTTTTTTTTTTTACATACATACACACATGCAAACATAGGAAAAACTCGGTTAAGCGTAATTGACGTTGAATTCCAAAAAAAAAAAACTATCTACGTTTGGTTACAAAGTACGTTACAAAGTATAAGAAAACAAGAAAAGAGAGAGAGGGAGGGTGTTAAAGAGGGGGTTGAAGAGGGGATACGAAGAGAAAGAGAAAGAGAGGAAAGTTTTCGCATCATCCACTTCATTCGTTCAGAAATATACGTTTAGGTAGGATCTAATTCTATAGGTACGCTTCGTTACACCAAGTTTTCTGTAGCCATTAAAGTAGTCTCTTTCTTCGTACCTCGAATTCTACCGAAAGAGAAAGAAAGAAAGAAAGAGAGAAAGAAAGAGAGAAAGAAGGAAAGAGAAAGAGAGAGAAAGGAAGAAGAAGCTTTATAACCTTAAAACGTTTATCCGACGACGAATGGTAACACGATTTTGACGAGTAGTATTTTTTTTACCTTACACACTATACCCGCATCGTGTATGTTTAAAATGACGATAACTATCTTGTACTTTTGCTTTGCGTTTCCCTCTTTTTCTTCTTTTAATATATTAAACGCCTATTCATTCCTGTGACACGTTTAACGTACAAGATAATGATACTAGTTATGATCAACCGTTTTTCCTTATTTTTTGTTTTGTTCGTTGGTTATTTGTGTATTCTAATACTTGGCCTATTAAAGAGTTGTGTTAGCGTAAAAGTGGTAAGAGATTAAGCGCAAAAAGAAAAAAAAAAAGAACTCGTCACCGTAATATACCAGACGCTTGGCGTTTAACTCAACTTGGTGAATATTTTTCGCATCGATTTTATTCGAACGAACTCGTTTTTCAATTACAAACGAAATCGTGACGAATTCGCGCGACGATTCGTATACGACCTCGAAATCGCCTCTGGGAACGTTTATCTTAGAAAATATTTAAAGAAAAAAAAAAGAAAACACATCTATGAAGGTTGGACGAAATCAGAGAAAGAAAGAAAAGAAATAAAAGATCGATAGTTTCATTAATTTCTGCAGAAAGAAAAAGAAATTATCGCGGATCGAATAAGAGAAGGGGGGAGAGAGAGAGAGAAAGAAAACAAAGATACGTTATCTTTTAAAAGAAATAAAGAAAAAAAAAAGAAAAAAAAAAAAGAACTTAATCAACGTGATAAACTACGAACGTAATTAAAAGTTGGTCTGATTATTGAAATAATCGGATGCGAGTGACGTAATATTGTAGAAATATATTTGTCTGAAATTTCAACGCAAGGACGACGGCCGATAACAATCCCGTAAGGATTAACCAAACGTAAAATATACAAGTTGAAACACTAGGGGTCTCCTGTAAAACAGCACCATTTTACCGACTCACTATTGGTTGCCCTAAGAAGAGTCGTTTGCTCGAACGCGAGGATTAGTGTCTGAAGTCAGATCGAAATATGGTAAGACAGGTGATTTCCGCGTATTTCTACCTGCCGGTCTGACGATTGTTTCCCGCAATGGAAATTACTGGTTAACCGACGAGGGAAAGAGGGAAACGTGAGAAAATTCTTATTAAGCCGCGCGTTAAGTAGCAACCATGCCGTTGGTACGTACCACCACTCCGTATTTACGAGTATGGGAATTTTGTAGGATCAAAGAGATCGAGGAATTTCTTTTCTAACTGCTGATGATTCAAAAAACTTATGGCTTTAAAGGATAGTTACATTTATTTTCTCTCTCTCTCTCTCTCTCTCTCTCTCTCTCTTTTTCTCTCACACTCTCTTTTTTTTCCTCTTAATCTGACGTGTACGTGTGGCCTTTAGTCGTTCAATTTATCCTAATTGTAAATTAAACTCAACATTTTCTAATTTCTTACTACAAATTGTCATATTTTCATTAAAAAAAAAAAAACAGAGAAAAAAACAGTATAAAACACAGTATAAGTGATCAAAGATAAAAATAATTTAATGAATTTATTTCTAGCAGTTAGAATTATTGATACTTCAAAAATTCGATGATTATTAGTGCGCTACCCCGAGGAAAAAGTATCGTTTTGTTGTTTTTGTTCAACATTCGGTTTGCTACAATTTAATGCATAATCTATTGCCATTGGACTTTATAATAAAATCGTTTCTCGATCGAGAACTACCCCCACGTATCTAATATTTCATTAGGAAATAATCACGAACTGGGTCGGCTTTGATAAATGTTAGTTTCGCGTGCGATACATCGGGATACATCAGTAGCAGCAATTGCGTGCCGGATTATATTTGCAAATGTTAACGGCCATGAATCGCGTATTTTATTTTATCGTAAGACTACGAACTTATGCGACTTATCGAAAGGAATTAGAAAGAAAATTACATCGTTGTGTAACTTTCTTGGAACTTGCTAGATGGAAATAGATTTTTTTTTATATATATATAGAAAAAATATATTTTTAAAAATATAAAAAAAATTGTTTTGGGGGGGGGGGGGCAAAAATATGTAAAAAAAGTAAAAAAAAAGATGACGTGTAATTACGCAAACGTTAGTCGAATTCCGTTTCGCGGTGCTGCTGACGACGGCAATGGCAGCATGAGCGTTGGTTGATGGTGGTGGTGATGATGGTGGTGGTGGTGGTGGCGGCGGCGGATGTATTTTCAAACAGCGCTCGTCTTCGAATGGCTCACGGAATCGCATAAATTACTTCGCGCTTGACTTATTCGCACGAGCCTCCCGACCTATTCTCGGTAAGCCGTAACGAGTGGCTTTCATGACGCGGATTGTTCGCCGTCAAAATGCAACTGCAGACGACGGTTGGTTGCAAACGAGAGGGACGTGAAACTTTCGAACTGAACTGGTCGAAGGACGTCTTTGAACTTTCGTCACATGATTTTCTTTAACCAGTTAGAAAATTTTCGTTCATTTATAAAAAAAAAAACAAAAGATTCGTTTATAAACGAGAGAAAGAATTATTTTTTAATTTTGTCGAATAACATCATTTGGATAAACGTTGTATCTCTACTTGTACGTATATTGTTCAATTGAAATTTAAAAGAAAAAATATCATTTTAATAAGAATATCATAGTTAGGGTGTCTTCTCTCTCTCTCTCTCTCTCTCTCTCTCTCTCTCTCTCTCTCTTTCGTTTTCTAGACGCGATATAATGATTTAATACGGATTTCCGCGAGAGACACGGTAGCGTAAGCGTGACAGGCGTTACCGGCGTGCGATCTCGCTTAATGACCGTACCGAGAAAAATGAGGGCCGGTGGGCGGTCGTGTAAACACGCTCCGCTATGAATGAACCTCCGCGAGTAACGTAATAAATAAACTCCCTATCGACTTAAAGAGGAAGCGGAAAAGAGATCGCCGGGAACGATCTCTCTCTCTCTCTCTCTTTCTTGACTGTTCGTCGTCGTTATTTAACCCGTCATGCGAATCATGTTTTCTCTTGCTTGGACATGAGCAAAGTTGAACTTAACTTATTGTATTGTATTGCACATATTATCGACAACAATTATATCACCATCTTATCCGTGTAATATGATTTCGAATAAAACCATAAGTACTATTGATATTTCTTGAATTTTATTTCAGATAATTTAGAGTATTAAAGTAGAATTATATATTTAAACTAAATTGGATTATATAAAAAAGAAAATGAATTTTCCAATTTACCGGAAACGATGTTTAAAATAAAATGTAAACTCACCTATAGTAATCTTTCTTGCAGTAAATATTTCCATTCCTACAGAAACAGGTGACTTCGTTATCGAGACCCTGACGACAGTGAGAACATTGAAGACACGCAGCATGCCATCTCCTGTCAACCGCCTGAAGGTAGTATCTGTCAGATATCCTAAGCCCACAACCCGCACAAACAACTCCAGGAACATCCTCGGATTGTGCCGGGGGCGTTGGCGGTGGCTCGAGTTTCGGAATGGTCTGCAAATGTTCGGAGGTTTGTTGTTCCTGCGTGTGAGTTTGTCCATGCAAATGGGAGTGATGATGGTGGTGATGGTGATGATGCGTCCCTTGTGGCGGCATACTCAAGTCACTCGGATTATTATCGAAACTACCGTTGTTTCTGTACTCCGATCCACCTGTCGAATATTATTTTGATTCTTTTTTTTTTGGTTTTGTTTTGTTTATTTCTAACTTCTGTAAACATGGACAATTGTTCGATACAAATCGTAAAGAGTAGTTAATAGAATCGATATTAGTGTAGGTATTAATTGGGTAGTCATTTTAATCGGACTAAAAAATTACATAAAAGTAATTTTATTTCATGGACGTTTTTATAGAAGCTTATAAAAAAAAAAAAAAGAAAGAAAAAGATTTACTCAAGACATTATTAAAATAATAAATAAGAAAATATAAACACGAACCTCCAGGCGAATCGTAGTCTCTGGAATCGTAAGGGGTGGTCGGTCCGTCGTAGCAGTTGTTGTTAGTGCCGCAGTGTGTTTGATGTAAGGGCGTCTGATGGGACGTGTGATGGGGCGTGTGATGGGGCCCGTGGTGGTGGGCGGCGGGAGGACTGCACGGTAAGGTGGTGGGTCGTGCAGCGTCGCCCATCGACGCGGGGAGGCAGGGACTGAGGTCCCTTGCCTGCTCGACTGCTCCGGGGCCCCCCGCACTACCGGGCCCCCCTTGACGCCCCACAGCCAAGCCGCTCCCGCGCTCTTGCGAGCTGGCCGGCTGTTGAAACAAAACCGTTCACGTTAAATATTTCTTTTTTTTCTCTCTCTCTCTCTGTCTATTTTTTTTTGTTATACACGTACACATTTATATGTGAACAAATTCTTAAAGACAATTTTCCAATACTTCGACCATTTTTATTTGATTTTTTTTTTTTAGAAGTTTATTCTTGTCTTCAATATGAAACTTTTATAAGCGATTTAAACAAATGATCGATTTAACGATCTTCCTTACGTCTCTAACTCGATAAATGTAATCAAGTTGGTAGCATAATCTCTACTACCGTGTCGTAAGAAAATCGTTTTAAGAGCACTACGGAGGATAAAATCGGTAGACTAGTCATTTTTAGGAAGATTACACGGAAGGAACGTATCTAACGAAAAGTAAGAAGTTCGAAAAACCGGTTGTACCAAAAAGGTTTACTACGAGTAACGACGTCCGTCGATGCGTATCGAAAAACTCACCTTCGTTTTTCTCCCTTGCCCTTTTTATTTTGTTTTTTAATTTTCGTTTTCTCGATATCGTAGACTCGCGTGTCACGTTATTTCAAATAACTCTCAAAGTTAAACTTCGCTATCGATCGTAAACTCTCATGTCGAGGAATGGAATGAATGAAGATAAAAAAAAAAAAAAAAAAGAAAAAAAAAGAATAAAAGGAAAAAAATAAGAAAAATACTCAACATTCGTGTGTCTCCGCGATAATTCTAATATTAAATATAAATAATGATATGCCTTATATATACACGTTGAAAAAAAAACGTTTGATCTTTTAACCTACATAACAGAAATTTGCATTACTCGACGGTCCAGAATGATCGTAAAAAGTGGCCTCGGGAAGGAGGAAGATCGATGCAGGAAGCGATCGATGCGACGACGGATCATGATCGATCGACAGGTCGAACCGGTAGGAGAAATCGCATCGAACTAATAAAAAGAAGAAAGAACGCACGAGCGCCTCCTCCTCCTCCTCCACCACCCCCCTCCCCTCTCGTATATTGCCTTCTCAAATGCTGCTTTCTCTGCAACTTGGTGAAAGAAAGGAAAAAAATACTATAAGAGAGAGAGAGAGGATGGACGTAAAGAAGGATAAAGAAAAGGGGGAGAAAAAGTAATATAAAATATTATAAAATAAAAGAAAATATATAAAATAAATATAAATAAGAGAAAAGAAGAAAAGAAAAAGAGAAAGAGAGTCGATCGGGTAGCGAATCGGCGGCTCGTTTCTGATGGATGTCGCAAGGCAGTGTGCGCATGCGCGCGACCCTATAAGGCGCCCGAAGCCGACCAATCGGAGTAGCTGCCGTGTTTCAACTGTCAACGCGCTCACGGCGTACCGCGGCGCGTACCACGGAGACATAAATTACGACTCGAGTTGCCCTACTGTCGTCTCTCCTTCTTTTTCTCTCTCTCTCTCTCTATCTCTTTCTGTCTCTGTCTCTGTCTCTGTCTCTTTCGTTCTTTGAACGTTGCACAGCACAGAGACCTACGTTTGTAGTATATACCTACGTCTCGTGGAAAACCAATGGTGCACTTTACGACAGCAGATACTGGTATTTACTGCGCCTTAGGCAAAGCGGCACGTTTGCGGATCCCGAGGCCGCCCGAAGGAAACCCAGGGTTGTGTGCAAAAGTGTAGTAGGGGAGGCTTTTGGTAGGGATGCGAAAATATAACGGGAGACAACGGACAACGACGAAAAGATATTTCCTATTCGGTGAACGTTTTAAAGAAACTATGAGACACGCTCGAGTAACTCGTTAAATTCGACAAAAAAAAAAAAAAGAAAACAATTTTCAAATCTTTCCTCAGGAAAAAAACTAGAAAAATGTCTATTAGCTAGCTCGGATTGGTTTGCCGTCGAATTTTAAGATAAAGAAAAGAAAAATAAGGAAGAAATAAAAGGAAGATTATAAGAATAAACTTGTCCGGCAACGTAGAATTACGCTCTTAACCGTTATTTTATTTCAGATAGAGGTAGCAGCCACTCGTCGTCGTCGGCGGCGGCGGCACCAGGGACGGTAGCAAACGTGTCGGACACATCGTCCCTCGTCGAAGATAATGTTTATCGGCGAGAAACTTCGCCGATAAAATCGTTACCGCGTGGAAAGCTATATCTCGTTGGTGTGCGCGTACGCTACCGTCTTTCTCCGACACTAAATCGAACACTCGAGTTGTGTTTAAACCGATATACATATATATATATAATACCACGGAGACCATAAAAAATATATAAGAAGGCTCGTTAAGTCGATCGGTATGGTAACAGAAAATATATTTCTCTCCCTCTATCGTTTGTAATAAATAATAATAATAATAATAATAACAACGTGCACCCAAAATATTTGTATTTTTTAATTTTTATCGGTGCGCGCGTTAAAAAATAAAAAGAAATAAAAGTTATAACATGGGAACAAAAACAAAAAGTTCGTCCTTATCTTTTCTCTTTAATTAATCGTCGAAGATAACGATGTAGATATAATAGGTAAAATATATTAAGGTATAGTCGAATACGGGCAATACGAGGAGCCGTTAGGAAAATTCTAAACCGCCTACTTCGGATTAGTTTACAAGGTGTAACGCGCACTTCTCTCCTCGGTACACGATCACCGGTATTCATTCTCTCTTATGTAATATTGCGTCGGGTCAACGAAGGAATCGTTGGAACGCGCGCTTATAAGGATTGCTGGAATAACTCTTCGCTGGCGAGCATGCGAGGAACTTGATTTGTTACTTACTTTCTGCGTTAGAGTCGTTAAGAGGAAAACTAAAGATTCGCCTAAATCCACGCCTCCTAATGATTTTTCTCTCTCTTATTTATAATCGTATTATAATTTAGTTTGTTATTGTTGTCGTTGTTATTAAAATTCTATCTAACGACAAGTTGTATTGTCGAATATTTATGAGGTTCTTCTTTTTTCCTTATCTCACCGTTGATTACTATTAAATTAAATTTTATTCCTCGCGACGATGACCGTTTTATTTTTTGTTGTTGTATAAGAAAAGAAAATTGAATAAACAATCGAAACTATTTCATCGAATCGTCGTTAAAAATTGATCATTTTATTTAGAGCAAAAAGATAAGAGAAGAAGATTCTTTATTCTCGTTTGTCGGTCATTGTTATCCTTTTATTCGACAAATAATAAAAAAAAAAAAAAAAGGAAAAAAAAAGAAGTCCCGTTGTCTCTTCGATAAATCTTATAAATTTCCCACGAAAGTTACATTCGACGATCGATCTTCGTTCGAAAGATCCTTATCCATCCGCGGAGAGTGGACCCAATGCGGCAAGGAGGCCGTGCTCGGACTGCAAAAGAGTGCCGAGACTTTCACCGGCGGCGATACCTTGCACAAGACTCCGCCTTTTTCATTTTCACGAAACGTGAAGTAAATAACGAGCTAACAGAAATCGCAATATATCCGAGCGAAAAGGCATACACAGAATGTCGCCAGAAATGTCGGCCGATCTTACCGTCCTAAGCTAACTCCCGGGGCCCGTACAAGCCACGCTTCTCTTTCCTATTGGTCGAACGTATCTAACCTCCACCAATAATCGATAACGAATCGATACTCGCAATTCATTACAGATGATTATTCTTTATTCTTACCAAACTTACAAATGGGTTTATTGCGTTAGTGATTATAATGGTTAACCGGATAATATGAGTCATATAAATTTATATATTACAATTATTAAATATGGATTATTATTTTTTTTTTTTTTAACTTATGTACATTTGTTTACCGTTATTTGTTTGACCCCCGACTAGATAATCTTTATACATATATAATTTCGTATTTTATTTCTTTTATTTATTTGTAACTAATGTAAATGTAAGTAGAACACATCAGTTTCCTTTAAAGCCCTTTTACTGTTAATTCTGATAATAATTTGCTCGAAATGTCAATTTTCTCGCTATCCTAGGAGAACTCGTGATCGGAATAACTTTCGAGATCGTCAAGGACTGACGTTCCTTCTCTTTAACGACAAAACCTCGAGAGGACGGATCATTCCGAACGAGTCACAACGGTGAACAAACAGTAACCATACGTCTGAATCTGGGTCTGACCGTTCCATAATATTTTTTTCTTCTTTTTCTTTTTCTTTTTTTCTATTTTTTCTTCATTTCTTTCCTTTATCCCTATCGACCAATGGCCATTTTCCACGGTGTAGTCACATGGGGATAGATGTAATTGGAACGTACGCCGTTCCTTTTGTCGCGTTATGCGATAACTTATGATTTCTAAGAAGCTCCTTAGTGAATCGCAAAAGTCTTTAATCGACCAAACAGAGTTGTATTAATCAATTGCAATATCGACATTAATGCATTTTTTATTTATTTTTTTTTTTTTTATTATTTCTAATGTAACAGAAATATTTCTCAATTATCTTCGAACGAATGCGATGTAATTCATAATTATATTAACTTCAATTAATTAACTAAATATACACATTATCTATTTTTTATATTATATAATATAATCTCTCGCTTTCCTCGATACTTTTTATCAATGCAAATTAAATTACACCACGCTATATTTATCAAATGAATTTTATCGTAAGGTTAATAAATCGATTTGAAACATTTTATCTATTTATTTCTAATACATTTAAACACACTTCGAATCAAGAAAAACTAAACACATAAATAATTTCAATCAAAGTCAAACGATCGTAATATCGTAATAAACAAAATAAATTATTGAAATGAATTATTTTATGCGACGAAACTCTATCGATAATATTAATAAAAGGAATTTTTCTATTTAAACGAACAAAAAATTTCCACTTGAAAAAGTAAAAAAAAAAAAAAAGAAATAATAATGCAAAATAATTTCTAATCAATAGTAAAATAAATTACAATCGCAATAGAAAATATATCATCGAATATAATACATATTTCGTTCTTCGTGAAAAATCTAATGCAACATAATAAAAATGACCTGGCAACGTAGAATACTGGTAAGATTCGCGAGAGGTAAAAAGAGAGAAAGAGAGATCGTGAA